ATACGGCTGCGGGTGACCGCGGGGAGGACGACCGGGAGCTGGGGAAGGAGGACCCCCTGCGTTCCCTGAGGCAGAAAGCGGAGGCAAACCCAGCAGGAAGGCGGCGCCACTCCTGGATGCTGCCGTCAGCTACAGCGCGCCCACCTTAAGCCAGTGGTTCTCTGACTCTTAGTTGGGCTAGGAGTCCCCCTGTTCCTCCCGCTTCCAGACTTCCAGGCCTCTGCTCCATCAGGGGTGGGAAATGTGCCATAACGATTTCAGTAACTGGGGGGAGTGGGAAAGGAAAGAGAATCGAAAAGCCCAGGAGTAGTGAGGTAGTGAGTTTCCTGTAACCAAGGATGTCAGCCAACCATATTGGTCATGCTTGAAAGGAAGGCTGAAGAGGCCACTTAGGCATCAAGTGGGGGGGCTGGACTAAATGGCCACTTACCTTTATCTTGAAAATTAATGGCTTTTGATATAGGGAAAAAAAAGCATCCTTGACCAGTCTGATTCCGACCTCAAAGTAAATAGACATTTTCTTGCTGTCCACTCAAAATATTCACCCGTGGATTTGTTTATTAATTGAGGAGGTGCTGTGTGCCAGACAATATGCTAGGTGCAGTTATTATGTTCCTTGAACTTGGGGTTGTGGCAGACAGACAAGCAAGTATTCCTATGACTATTCATTGTGATGGATGATACAGGGTGAGGAAGAATGAATTAAGTGGAGTGGACATACTCTAGGTCGGCTGGATAGTTAATTTTAAAAGGTTTCTAGACATGAACTTACCTAACGCCCTCACAGGAAGAGGCATCAGAAGCGCAGAGAGAAAAGAGCCCAGAGATAGATAAGGGCAAAAGCAGGTGTCCTGTCTCCCTAGCCCAATCACTTGGCCAGTTTTGTTCATGGACCTTTTCCCCTGTAGAAATATCTTCCCAGGACCAGTGTCACTTTTCTGAAGAGCGTTTCAATCTCCAGACCACTTGTTGAGGCTACTTTATTCCAAAATTTCATATTTGTGGAATGAATGGACTTGCTGGGCCATCAGTGATAGGCAAAAATAACCCCAAAGCACTAACCTTTCGGTTTTCATCAAACCTCACAAAAACAGGTAATGTCTCCAGTGGGTAGAGACAAGAAGTGGAGTAGAGATACTGACTTTCCTGAATTATTATGAAATTAAACAACATAGCCAAATCCTTAATCAAATAATTGGTATAAAATAGCATGTTACTGTCCTAGAGCTGCCTTAACAAATGACCACAAATTTAATGTTTAAAACACCAGAAATGTATTCTCTCACTGTTTTGGATGTCAGAAGTCCAAAGTCGGTGTGTCATCTGGTCTACACTCCCTCCCACAGCTCTTGGGGAGAATTCTTTCTTGCCTCATTCAGCTTCTGGTAACTCCAGGAATTCATTGACTTGTTGCATCTCTCCGATCATTGACTCCATCTTCACATGGTCTCCTCTGTGTCTGTCTTCCTCTCTTCTGCCTCTTATAAATACACTTGTCAAGGATTTAGGGACCATCCAGATAATCCAGGATGATCTCAACTCAATATTCTTGCTTAATTATATCTGCAAAGACCTTTATTTAAGTAAGATCCTGATAATGAACTCAGGTTTGGCTGCCTGCCAAATCAAAAACCAATTCTCAAGCGGGAGGTGCTAGTGCAAGGAAAGAGGGTTTATTCAGGTGCTGGCAGCCTGGGAAAATGGTGAACTCCCATCCCAAAAACCATCTTAACATCTCAGTGTAGGCAGGGGTTTTTATTGGGAGGAAGAGGGAGAACAGAACAGAGAAATCAGGTGGAAGGAGGTTGAAACGTCTCTACCTGTAAGTCAGCATAGTCCATTCCAATGATTTTCTCAAAACTGGTCAAGCAGAGATCCGGTTTTTATGGTTGAGAATCAGCAAGTCTTCCAGAGCCAGAACAGTTGCTGGAGTCAGCCCCCTCACCCAAAGCTAATTCCTGAAACTCTTACACAAATATACCACCTATCCACGGGTTACAAATTAGTTAACAATCCATCTATTACAAAAACACTTTTAACAGAAACAATATTAAAAGAATAGAAGGGTGGGTTACAACTACCTGCTATCAATTTTTCTTCCATTTCTAAGGAAGTTTCTCTCTTTTTTCCCCCCTAACTAATTGGTAGAAGAGCCTTGGGATATTAATTTGGCATGAAATGCCAGAACCTATTGTGAGATATATTTCCTAGTTTTATCAGGAGGAGAAGCTTCAAGATGCATTTGCTTTTCAATCCTTGAGGCTCATTTACATATCTTATGATACATAACATGGTTAACTTAAATGTTATATAAAGGATTAAAATTAGTACTAGAAGGGGTAGGCCTAAATTTATAATTCCTTTAGTCCAGTCAGTATCCCAATACTACTTTTGCTAATGAGTCTACAGATTTTAGCTGATTGGCAAGTGAAATAGCAATTTCATTGGAGGTAATTATTAATGTTTTAGATAGGTTACATAAAATATGACAGTGGACTACCACTTTCCACCATGGCAGGATGGTATAACCAAAGCAATACTTGTCCCTGTCAGAGATGTATCCTAAAAGAGCTAGAGCTACTTGAGTGAATAGTTTGAGCAAGCTAGTCCAGTGGCGGGTCTCATTTCCTAGGTTGACTGATAAAGGAGTAACTAATGATCCTAGAAAACATTGTCCAGCATCAGGCTTTGCCTGCAATACCTATAGATTTGGGTGAATTCTTCAAGTTCTAGAAGTCACAAAAAAGATGTTGAGGGTTTTTCTTTGCAATCTTCCAGGAAAGTAAACTTTATTCCTTACCTGCAAAGTCTGCCATGAACCATGTGAATAAGCAAGGTACCAGGCCATTTCTGCAAGGGGCTTTATTTGGTTTCAAAGTCTATCTTAATTCCTTAAACCAGTGGTCGGCAAACTCAATAGTCAACAGAGCCAAATATCAACAGTACAACGATTGAAATTTCTTTTGAGAGCCAAATTTTTTAAACTTAAACTATATAGGTAGGTACATTGTTAATAACTTAATTAGTGTACTCCTAAGTCTTAGGAAGAGCCACACTCAAGGTGCCAAAGAGTCGCATGTGACTCACGAGCCGCAGATTGCCGACCATGGCCTTAAACCATTTTGGTGACATCCAGAGATTAGGCATGTCTCTCTCAAACATGACATTTCAGTCAAGGTCTTGGCTAATAAAACTATAATTAGAAACCAGTTTTGTGTCCTATTATAAAAAAATCAGATTCTCATTTAATTTATGCAAATGAACATATTGTCATGGAAATAATAATACTCATTAAGAGTTTCTAAATTCTGGAGGGATCAGGTATGAAGACAAATATATAATTTACCAAATTGCTTTTAAAAATAAGTCTCCTTATGTCTGGCAAGTTAAGAGGAAAATCCTTGTTGTTTTTAACAAATTATAAAAGAATCAAATTCCAACACTGTATTATCTTACTTTGGATTCTTAAACATATATACTTAATTAAATTCATTATTCAGCTTACCTGTATAATTTCCTTTCAAGATTTCTCTTCCCAAACCTTCAACAAACTTTCACAAACCTTCTTACCCATCCCTATATATAAAAGCCTAAGTGACCAAAGGACCAGTCGACCAGTCCTATGACACACACTGACCACCAGGGGCAGATGCTCAATGCAGGAGCTGCCCCCTGGTGGTCAGTACACTCCCACAGCTATTGATAGCATATATTGATAAATTATATATGATAAACTCACAGCCAAAATCATAATCAATGGGCAAAACTAAAAGCATTTCTCTTAGATCGGGAACAAAACAGGGATGTCCACTTTCACCACTCTTATTTAACACAGTTCTGGAAGTCCTAGCCACAGTAATCAGATAGGAAGAAGAAATAAAAGGAATTAAAATTGGAAAGAAAGAAGTAAAACTGTCATTATTTGTAGATGGCATGATACTGTGTATAGAGAACCCTGAATATTATGCCAAAAAACTACTAGAACTGATAAGATGAATTCAGTAAAGTAGCAGAATACAAAATAAATATTCATAAATCAGTTGCATTTCTATATACCACTAATGAACTACCAGAAAGGGAAACCAAGAAAAGATCCCATTTACAAGTGCATCAAAAAATATATACCTAGGAATAAATTTAACAAGGATGTAGAAGACCTATACTCGTAAAATTATAAGACACTAAAGAAAGAAATTGAAGAAGATACAAATAAGTGGAAGCATATACTGTACCATGTTCATAGATAGAAACAACCAACATCATTAAACTGTCCATACTACCCAAGGCAATCTATAGATTCAATGCGATTCCTATCAAGATACCAATAGCATATTTCACAGAACTCGAACAAATATTCCAAAAATGTATATGGAATCACAAAAGACCCTGAATACCCACAGTAATCTTGAGAAAGAAGAACAAAGTTGGATGAATCATGCTACCTGATATCAAACTATACTATAAGGTAATGGTAATCAAACCAGCATATTACTGGCATAGAAAGAGGCATATAGATCAATGGAACATAATAGAGAACCCAGAAATAAAACTATGTCTTTATATAGTATACTAGAGGCCCAGTGCATAAAATTTGTGCATGGGGGGTGTCCCTCAGCCTGGCCTGCACCCTCTCCAATCCAGACTCCTTGGGGGGATGTTTGACTGCCCTCTCACAAT